AACAGCGTTCACAACTCACCGTCGAAATTTGAGCCTTCAAATCCAGGTGTGGGGAATTATCTGCTTTTGAATGTTAAAATGACGACTCGTCAATTGAAGATACTCTGTGATATATAGAAAAGACATATATAGAAATAGTGAGTTAAATTCCTAGTTTGAAATATTTTTACAGAAATGATGTGATTTTCGTACATTTCTAGTACTTCTGAAGACTATTTACATATTACACTATTAAAAATCAACCCCCCAAATGGCGCATCTGTTCCTTTAAGACCACAATGTGACAGTAAGACATAAAGCACCAATTCTTAATTTAATGTAATAATGGCCTTCTTCCTCTCTGATCTTTCATCTTGTAGCTTTAATCAGGGAATGTAAAATATCGATAGTTCTACCTGGATATTGTCTGTGAAAATGATTCCTGAAAAACACAAGAGAATTGGTCAAAGAATTTCAAAAAAAGAAATGTCTGCTGTTCTGTACCTTATTGGACTAATGAAATGAAATGGAGTTTTATATCCTACTGTTCTGTATCTTATTGGACTAATGAAATGAAATGGAGTTTTATATCCTACTGTTCTGTATCTTATTGGACTAATGAAATGAAATGGAGTTTTATATCCTACTGTTCTGTATCTTATTGGACTAATGAAATGAAATGGAGTTTTATATCCTACTGTTCTGTAGCTTATTGGACTAATGAAATGAAATGGAGTTTTATATCCTACTGTTTCTATCTTATTGGACTAATGAAATGAAATGGAGTTTTATATCCTACTGTTCTGTATCTTATTGGACTAATGAAATGAAATGGAGTATTATATCTTACTGTTTTGCTCCTATCTGGACTGTAAGAAAGAAATCGTGGAACATCACAATGTATCAACCTACCAATGGTTTATATAATGAAATATTTTATAAAGTTCCAGTCTGTTTTGAAATCCATCAGCTTCAGGAATAACCCCATGATAGGCCTGGAAAAACTCGGGTTCAAATTTACCATAAATATGAGCTATCGCCAGATCGTATTCAGCATGGCCGTAAAATGACGCCGGGTCGTAGATAACTGAAATAGATTTTAGAATAAGATAAACACTTTTGTTCTGACCCGCCTTAATCTGCTTAATTTGTCAGACTAAAATCTCCGATAAATCGATGGGCAATCGTCCCCCCCCCCCCCCTTTCTCTCTCATGAAAATTTTGACCGAGGACGTCGATAACATCCTAGCCCCCAGTCCCAACTCCCCCTCCCCTCTCTTCACCCAGAAAGAAATCTAGAAAGAAACCAATAATCTTACCGGGACCATGTAACGACTCCGATGCGTTTCCAAAATGAAGATCACCATGTAGAAGAGCAGGTCGTATCTCTAGACCAGTAAATAATTTAGGTATCCCTGGTAACAGAGTATTCCATAAATCACGGATTTTTCTATATATCATATTATACTGGAAGTAAACGAGATGTAGTTTAACGTCCTACTTTTCTACTTTTTTTACTGGTAGAAAATGGAATAGAGTTATGCGTTATACGTATGAACTGAAAATAGAACAGGTACTGTGTGCGGTGCTGGAATAGCAATTTCTAGCCTGTAGCGACAACCCTGCATCGGACACCTCATAGCACCTTTATTTCATATGACAAGACTAGTGTTCTGTAGCCTATTCTGTAGAAAATGAAGCAGAATTCGACATTCCAATTAAAGAGACACCATCCCTTTGACCAATCGCATTTGGTCTCAGAAACGGGTAAAATTTTAGCTAAGGTAATCAGTAATAGTATTCACAGCTCAGCTTCGAAATGTTAGCCTTCAAATCCACGTGTGTCCAGAATTATCTGTGTTTGAAAGTTAAAATGACGACTCGCCTTTTCTTGACTCTACGCCATATATAGAAATACATATATAGAGAGTGGATAATGGCAAGGAAAAGCGATATACCTCTCTTCTATCTATACTATCTATCTGTGCCTCTATTTTTCCACAATAAAAATTCAACCAATCAGAAGACCAGGAATTAGACTGAGGTAAATATCCACAACAAGTCGGAACTTCAAAACCAAACTGATCTACATAATTCACCGTTTCTTGTTTTCCTACAAAACTTTCTATCTTTTCCTTCTGTTCTTTTAGTTGGGTATTGTAAAGATGAAGGCTGGAAACACGAAAATATGTAGTCAAAAGAATTTTAGCTATTTGTATAATCGTCTAAATATTAACTTTACCAGGTGATAGTGCTCAATTTCAGCTATCTGTATAGTCATCTAAATATTTACTTTACCAGCTGATAGAGCTTAATTTCAGCTATCTGTATGGTTATTTAAATATTAACTTTACCAGGTGATAGAGCTCAATTTCAGCTATCTGTATAGTCATCTAAATATTTACTTTACCAGCTGATAGAGCTCAATTTCAGCTATCTGTATAGTCATCTAAATATTAACTTTACCAGCTGATAGAGCTCAATTTCAGCTATCTGTATAGTCCTCTAAATATTTACTTTACCAGCTGATAGAGCTCAATTTCAGCTATCTATATAGTCATCTAAATATTTACTTTACCAGCTGATAGAACTCAATATCAGCTATCTGTATAGTCATCTAAATATTACTTTACCAGGTGATAGAGCTCAATTCTATCTTTCTGTATAGTCATCTTATATTTACTTTACCAACCGATAGAGCTCGATTAACTATCCGCAATACCTTTCAGAAATAAAAAAGGAAACCCAGTTCATCTGCATTTAAATAAAAACGAAGACTTACCTGGCTAGTTGTCGACCAAGTTGGGCAGAAGATGTGGACACTTTGCCTCTGAGATCTAGATACTCCATAACGAATATACTACCTCCCGCGGGATTGTCTATCACCTAAAAGAAGGGAAAGCAAATCAATGGTAGTGGCGTAATAATTGGGGATGGGTCGGGGTGTGGGGTGGCATTGGTCGAATTTTATCGGTCGAAGTGAAAATTAAACCCTCTCACAATGTTCAAAATTCATCTCAATTTTGCCCCCCCCCCCCCCCACCCATCTTTTTAGGTATTTTCTAGATAAGCCCCTGATTAATGGGTTTGTAACTTTTTGCCCTCCATCATAGGCAGCATGTAAAATATAAAAATGAGTAGAGTCCACCCTATATAGGCCTACAGATGTTATATTAGTCCATCACATCTGAGGCTCAGATGACATGGAATCTAAGATTAGAAAATATTGAATGTTAAGAACAGAGTCCATACCTTATATGGTTTTGGAGTTTTAACAGTACCAGTTTTATTGATAGCTTCTAAACTTTTAAACTCTCCTTGAAACATAAGACCAGCCTGAAATAATAATTCAAAAACATTAAAATAATACCGCCTCTTGGAATAAACATAAAATTTAAAGTCTCAAACTTGACTGATTATAATATTCAAAAATGATTTTCTAGTCATTTAAGAGTTATACCTCGTAAACCTTTAAAATAGGCTCGTAACCAGACTTGATTGTTCGGAAGCAAGTAATATATCCAGAGGGACGAGTAATATATCCAGAGGGGCAAGTAATATATCTGGAGGGGCAAGTAATATATCTGGAGGGGCAAGTAATATATCCAGAGGGGCAAGTAATATATCTGGAGGGGCGAGTAATATATCCAGAGGGGCAAGTAATATATCCAGAGGGGCAAGTAATATATCCAGAGGGGCAAGTAATATATCTGGAGGGGCAAGTAATATATATCTGGAGGGACAAGTAATATATCCAGAGGGGTAAGTAATATATCTGGAGGGGCAAGTAATATACCTGGAGGGGCAAGTAATATATCTGGAGGGGCAAGTAATATATCCAGAAGGGCAAGTAATATATCCAGAGGGGCAAGTAATATATCTGGAGGGGCAAGTAATATATCTGGAGGGACAAGTAATATATCCGCAGGGGCAAGTAATATATCTGAAGGGGCAAGTAATATATCTGGAGGGGCAAGTAATATATCTGGAGGGGGCAAGTAATATATCTGGAGGGGCAAGTAATATATCCAGAGGGGCAAGTAATATATCCAAAGGGGCAAGTAATATATCTGGAGGAGCAAGTAATATATCTCACGGGACAAGTAATATATCCAGAGG